ATGAGTTTTGATGCTTAGTGAATTACTTTATTCTCTCGCTCTTCTGCACAGAAGAAAGGGCTGAAAGAGCTTTGAATATCGCAGTGTTGAACTCAATCTATATTTGGAGCTACTGTAAATGAAGCGAGGTGAACAAAAATGTTATGATGATGGTTTGTACAAATGACCCGCGCTGAGGCTGAAAGGCTCTTTATGAAAGGCTACATGTGGACGACGGGCAGAAACAACCTAAAACGTTCATATACTCCAATTGAAAGTGCTGATTATAAAGTAAGGTTAAGTATAAAAGGAAGAATAATGCGATTTCAAACCCGCTCTTAAAAATAACAAACAGACCAAACACTCATAAGGCTTCAATTGCTATATTTTCACTCATTAGAGCAGTCGTTATTTGAACGAGGTGTTTAAAACGCCGGCCGGTAAAGCCAGATTTCCAAGGCAAAGAATGCAAGGTTGAAAACGCCAACCACCTTTGACGCTTCATTAAAATCACTCCCGTAAAGTTACATCTAAACCAGGAAATGTTATTGCCAATTAACAGAATGTTCCACTGCCTTTAAGATTTTAAATGCAAAACAATTTCACCATAGTCAGCGAATGGGAATCTTTTTGGTTGTTACACATTACATGTACTCTTTAAACATAATCTATTTCTATGAAACATCAGACTTTCGATTCTGCCAGAAAGCACAATTTGACTTATTTCTGATGTACATGTATCTGTTCAAGCTACTAAGCATTGGAGCGGGAAGGACAGTCTCCAGCATGACATGGACTGAAGTAAACAGCTTCTTGAGTAACAGTGCTCAGTAACCCCAGCGTCAGGGAGTCTGTGTGGTCTCAGGGCCCGCAGAAACGCTTCAGGTGTTCGGCAGAGAGAGGGAGGTCTGAACTGATCTCACTCTTGGACTCGGTGCCAGTTTGTAACATTCTTTTATTTATAAGAATCAATTAGTTGGAGGGAAAACGGCCTGCTAGTTAAATATCAGGAGAAAGCGCCTCTGTGGAGCATCTGATAATGAGACCACACACACACTGCTTCCTCTATAATGCTCCTGATAAACACACTGTGTGTCTGTGGATCCGCAAGCTTTACTCAGACACACTCCAGATCCTCCAGCCCGACCGCACAAACGCCAAGCTTTATAAACAATCACACACACTTCTGTTGGGCTTATCGATGCAACGGCCAATCAGAGGCATTTAGATGAGTCAACGCTGGAGATCGCTTCAATCCTGATCACGGATACTTTATTCATGTTTAGTCAACCTATCCTGTTTTTAAGTTTAGTCAAGTTTTCCTGGTTTCACAGACAGGGTTTCGATTAGATTAGTTCAATTGACCCTTCGCAGGGAGTTTGATTGACAGGCGATCTGACCAATCATAATCCGCCGAATCAAAGAAGTCAGGAGAGTTAGTAGGTTAACAGTGGTGGATTTGAACTTGAAAAACGGAGTGTACTGACGTCTTTCCACAGTTAAAACAACATTCCTTCTGATGTTCATTCATGTTTATTTGATGCTATAAGTTAACGAAGGAAGAGATGATCGGTTCACGAGCCGCTTTAACTGAGGCTGTCAGAGCCACAAAACGGTATTTATTGTTTACATTTCTTTAAAAAATGACCAAATTTGAAAGTTGAGACTTTGTTTCATATCAAAGTAAGCTGCTCTGTCCTGTCTGTCAGTGTGTTTTCAATCTCTTTGCTCCGCGATGTGTGTTTCACTGCGCGAGAACATGATGTGTAGCGTGAGAGTGGGCGTGGCTTGTCGGACATAGCAACAGTAACTAAAGGGGGCGGGTCTTTGCGAACGGTCAATTAGGTAGCTTTTATAAATGTGCCTTAGAAACATTACTGGTGTGAATCTAGAGACAAAATAAGGACACCGAGACATATTTTAAGATATGCTTTCAGTTAAAACAGCTCAAACATCCATTATAGTCTGGGATTAGACTCAAGCCTTGTCTGTGGCACCCAAGGGTAAAAGTCTGGGAATTTTATTCTAATACAACTTAAAAACATATTCTTAAAAACATATAAACATATAAAACACTATACTCTCATTCCTGCGTAATAATCAAGAAACTTTACTACCGTACCATGAGTGCAGCAGGCGCAGGCACTTAGTCCCGGTCACGATGGAAGTTACCGAGCTGGGGACTATTTTCAGGCGCTGCGTCATATCATTACGCCTGCTGCACTCATGGTACGGCATTGAAGTTTCTTGATTATTACGCAGGAATGAGAGTATAGTTCCTAGCCATATCAGCCTAGAAAATCGCAACTTTACATTTTCCGTCGGTCTTAGTGCTCGATGTAACTACAGAAGAGTCAAGTTTTAAATAGGAAAAATATCGAAACTCTTTGGTGATTTTTGTTTGAGAACTGCTAAAGGTCTTGTCCACTTCAATGATGTATGCTAAGCTATGCTAAAAGTGGTACCGCCAGAACCGGAGATCGGCTGAATGGATTCAAAAACGGTAAAACTCAACAGTTTAACTCTGGGGGAGTTGTAAAATGAGCCTATTTCCAAAAAAAGTGGAGTATCCCTTTAATGGCCACTTATGTCGCTAATAACACGGGTTTCTGAAATGTATAGCTCATAACTCACGTGTTGTGTAGCTCGTAACGCACGTGTTGTGTAGATGATAACGCACGTGTTGTGTAGATAACTCACGTGTTGTGTAGATGATAACGCACGTGTTGTGTAGATGATAACGCACGTGTTGTGTAGATAACTCACGTGTTGTGTAGATGATAACGCACGTGTTGTGTAGATAACTCACGTGTTGTGTAGACAACTCACGTGTTGTGTAGACAACTCACGTGTTGTGTAGACAACTCACGTGTTGTGTAGATAACTCACGTGTTGTGTAGATAACTCACGTGTTGTGTAGATAACTCACGTGTTGTGTAGATAACTCACGTGTTGTGTAGATAACTCACGTGTTGTGTAGATAACTCACGTGTTGTGTAGATAACTCACGTGTTGTGTAGATAACTCACGTGTTGTGTAGATAACTCACGTGTTGTGTAGATTATAACTCACGTGTTGTGTAGATTATAACTCACGTGTTGTGTAGATAACTTGTTGTGTAGATAACTCACGTGTTGTGTAGCTCATAACTCACGTGTTGTGTAGATTATAACTCATGTGTTGTGTAGATAACTTGTTGTGTAGATAACTCACGTGTTGTGTAGCTCATAACTCACGTGTTGTGTAGATGATAACGCACCTGTTGTGTAGATAACTCACGTGTTGTGTAGATAACTCACGTGTTGTGTAGCTCATAACTCACGTGTTGTGTAGATTATAACTCACGTGTTGTGTAGATAACTCACGTGTTGTGTAGATAACTCACGTGTTGTGTAGCTCATAACTCACGTGTTGTGTAGATGATAACGCACCTGTTGTGTAGATAACTCACGTGTTGTGTAGATAACTCACGTGTTGTGTAGCTCATAACTCACGTGTTGTGTAGATTATAACTCACGTGTTGTGTAGCTCATAACTCACGTGTTGTGTAGATAACTCACGTGTTGTGTAGATAACTCACGTGTTGTGTAGATAACGCACCTGTTGTGTAGATAACTCACGTGTTGTGTAGATAACTCACGTGTTGTGTAGATAACTCACGTGTTGTGTAGATAACTCACGTGTTGTGTAGATAACTCGCGTGTTGTGTAGATAACTCACGTGTTGTGTAGATAACTCACGTGTTGTGTAGATAACTCGCGTGTTGTGTAGATGATAACGCACCTGTTGTGTAGATAACTCACGTGTTGTGTAGATAACTCACGTGTTGTGTAGATAACTCACGTGTTGTGTAGATGATAACGCACCTGTTGTGTAGATAACTCACGTGTTGTGTAGATAACTCACGTGATAACTCACGTGTTGTGTAGATGACTCACGTGTTGTGTAGATGATAACGCACCTGTTGTGTAGATAACTCACGTGTTGTGTAGATAACTCACGTGTTGTGTAGATAACTCACGTGTTGTGTAGCTCATAACGCACGTGTTGTGTAGATGATAACGCACGTGTTGTGTAGATAACTCACGTGTTGTGTAGATAACTCACGTGTTGTGTAGATGATAACTCACGTGTTGTGTAGCTCATAACGCACGTGTTGTGTAGATGATAACTCACGTGTTGTGTAGCTCGTAACGCACGTGTTGTGTAGATGATAACGCAAGTGTTGTGTAGAGGACTCACGTGTTGTGTAGATGATAACGCACGTGTTGTGTAGATGATAACGCACCTGTTGTGTAGATAACTCACGTGTTGTGTAGATAACTCACGTGATAACTCACGTGTTGTGTAGATAACTCACGTGTTGTGTAGATGATAACGCACCTGTTGTGTAGATAACTCACCTGTTGTGTAGATAACTCACGTGTTGTGTAGATAACTCACGTGTTGTGTAGATAACTCACGTGTTGTGTAGATAACTCACGTGTTGTGTAGCTCATAACGCACGTGTTGTGTAGATGATAACGCACGTGTTGTGTAGATAACTCACCTGTTGTGTAGATAACTCACGTGTTGTGTAGCTCATAACGCACGTGTTGTGTAGATCTATTTATGTGTAGATGATAACGCAAGTGTTGTGTAGAGGACTCACGTGTTGTGTGGATGATAACGCACGTGTTGTGTAGATGATAACTCACGTGTTGTGTAGATGATAACTCACGTGTTGTGTAGATGATAACGCACGTGTTGTGTAGATAACTCACGTGTTGTGTAGATGATAACGCAAGTGTTGTGTAGAGGACTCACGTGTTGTGTAGATGATAACGCACGTGTTGTGTAGATAACGCACGTGTTGTGTAGATGATAACGCACGTGTTGTGTAGATAACGCACGTGTTGTGTAGATAACTCACGTGTTGTGTAGATGATAACGCAAGTGTTGTGTAGAGGACTCACGTGTTGTGTAGATGATAACGCACGTGTTGTGTAGATGATAACGCACGTGTTGTGTAGATAACTCACGTGTTGTGTGAGCAGGCTGATGTGGCTGGACGAGCTGTACTGGCGGGCCGCCTGCTTCTCCACTAGTTTACGCAGAGCTGATACGATGGCCTGCTGGTTACACTGAGCCTGGGACGACAGCGGGTCCTTCTCTTTCAGCACTCCAGCAGAAACAGGCCTGCACTTACTCACACTGGGCTTCTGGATCACTGACAATCACACAAACATGAAGATGATGTGGAAAACACGAGTGCTAGTTAGTCCATCTTTTAAACCGTCCACAGGTATACACAAACACAAATGACATTTCCAATTTGGTGGCGGGGAAGAAATACACAGCCCTGCTGAAAACGCCTAATATTTGATTATGCTAAGTTTAAAAAAAAGTGCTTGGCAACGATTAATCACATCCAAAATAAAAGTTTGTGTTTACATACTATATGTGTGTGCACTCTGTATAATTATTTTGCATATATAAATTTACACAAATGCATGTATATATTCAAGAAATATTTACGTGTAATGTGTATACATATTTATATATAATTAATTTATATTATATATAAATATTTTATATATAAAAAACACATTTTTCTTGAATATATACATGCATGTTAAGTAATGAAACTTGTTGTAAAGTGTTACCGTGACATGCTAGAACAAAACAGGCACCCCAAAACTAACAAGCAGCAAAGTATTGGTTTTAAAGGTGCAGTGTGTGATTTCTAGCGGTGAGGTTGTGAATTGCACCCAACAGAAGTTACGGTGGCCGACAGGAAGTGATGAGGTTTCTTTACAAAGATAAATTAAGAAATTAGGTTTACTTAATTACGCACTAAAACGATATGTTATTGCGAATATTATTTACTTGTTCATCACTGTGTCAGTGTTTTATTCGCTGACTTTAGCTACAGCTTCTTTGCGCGAACAACAACATAGTGACAAAACGCGTTTGTCCGTTTAGGGCCACCGTAGAAACATGTCAATAAGGGGACACACGGTGTGTGTAAAGAGAAATGCCTCATTCTAAGCTAATAAAAACATAACGGTTCATTATGTAAGGGCTTTACACACCACTGAAAACATAGTTATGTATATGATATTGCATTTCTGTCAACATATCCTCCTAAATATTCTGTGTTTCAGTCTCTTGAGTGTTGGAGATTACCGTGTCCCGCAGAGGACGGGCGAGCGGATCTCAGGCTGCACACGTGAGCGGTGTGTGTGGACTGGTGGCGAGCCGAGGCCCACGTGACACACCCAGGCGGTGGAGGTGTGATGGAGCAGGCGCTGTTGGCCAGTGGATGTGGAGGAGGCTCGACGTACGGCGGAGGATCTGGGAGACAGTGCTGTAAGACGATCTGTTCACAGTCTACAGCTGGAGCGTACGCCGCTCTCAGCAGAGCTTTCCTGTGTCTGACCGCAGAAGCGAGAGTCTTGCCCGTGTTATCTCTCGACTCAGCCGAAGCGGTGGCTTGCACTTCGTCTCCACTCGGCCTTTTGCTTCTGATGTGTCCGTTTTGCAGGGAGTTGCGTTTGCTTGTGTTACCGTGTTTCGCTGTGCTGCTTTGGGTTGCATCACTTTGACCCTGGTCTTCTGTTAGAGTAGCGGTCCCGTCTGTTATTTGGGTCTTGCTGATTGCATCTGCATTCTCTAAACCACCAGAGGTGGCCATGTTGATAAATGCAGATGCTTCATGAAAAAGACAATAATGAGTGTTATTAGCTGTTAATAACTTTTCTTTTTCTCATAACTACCGGTCCAAAGTCTTTACTGTCACTTTTGCTCAATTGAATGCGTCCTTGCTTAATAGAAGTATTAATTTCCTATATTTTTTTTATAATCTTAATCTCACCCCAGACTAGTAGTGTATGTTTCCACAGAGATATGAAGCAGTGAAAACTATGAGGGTGAGCAGATGAAATTAGGGAATTCAATTTGTGTTATTTTTATATTGTTGCTATTGACGTATAAGATTCCTGAATGTCAAACTCTAAAATCTCATTTGCGATCATGTTAACATTCAAAAACGGCGTGCAATGTTTGATATCACACCAAAAAGCCATTGCCTAATGCCATACACTTTACAATACGGTTCATTAGTTAACATTAATTAATGTATTAACTAGCATGAACTAACAATGAGCAATTAATTAGTTACAGTATTTATTAATCTTTGTTAAAGTTAGTTAATAAAAATACAGCTGTTCATTGTTTGCTCATGTTAGTTCACAGTGCATTAACTAATGTTAACAAATACAACTTCTGATTTTACTAATGTATTAGTAAATGTTGAAATTAATATTAACTGAGATTAATAAATGGGGTAGAAGTGCAGCTCATTAATAGTTCATGTTAACTAATGTAGTTAACTAATGAACCTTATTGTAAAGTGTTACCAAAATATCTTAAATTGTTTCAAAGATTTACCAAAGTCAACATCAGGGTGAATAAATGAACAGAATGAGCACTTTTGGTTGATCTATCCCTTTAAGATCTGTTATTGAAGCATGTGTTGTGTCATACTTCACGCGTGGCTGATGAGATGGCATGTGTGGTGTAAAACATGAGGAAATGTCGCTCACTCTCTCCGTTCTCATCACTGCTCCTCTTGACTCGGCTAGTGTGACACTTTGTGCCCAGAAACACACTGGCAGACTTATTCTTCTGGGTGTAGAACGTAAGGACTTCCTCCAAGTCACTTTCACTGGAAGAGAAGGCAGAAACGGCCACTGAAAAGCCACTGGCAGAAGCTACAGTCAGTGTGAAACTCATTCTCCTCATGTGTCGTAGTAAAGGAAGTGTTCACCAACCTCGCCTCCAGAATAAACTCCTGGAAAACATCGGAGTTGATGCAGCGATCTTCATCGGGAATCTTGTCCAAACTCTCCACCATGTGCTTGGTTTCCTGAGGGTTATTAAACAAAGTTGACTTAAAGAGGTCGTGCATTGCATTTGTTTTATTTTATACAGATCCATGTGGTCCACTTATAATGTTAGTACCATTTTTTTCCCCACCAAAAAATAAAATAAAATAATAATAATTTGTAAATAACTGGTTATTTTCTATTCTGTTTTTGGCCCTCTGATTTGAACACAAATTTTTAGGGTCATTTTGCCTTGATTTTGCACTTGCACAGTTACAGTGGATATAAACTAACACCAGCAGCCATATCACCCTGTAGCCCAAGACTGGTTGCCCACTGAAGCTAAGCAGGGCTGAGCTGGTTAGTACCTGGATGGGAGACCTTCTGAGAAAACCAGGTTGCTGCTGGAAGAGGTGTTAGTGAGGCCAGCAGGGGGCGCTCACCCTGGGGTCTGTGTGGGTCCTAACGCCCCAGTGTAGTGACGGGGACACTATACTGTCAAAGAGCACCGTCCTTCGGATAAGACGTTAAACCGAGGTCTTGACTCTCCGTGGTCATTAAAAAAATCCCAGGATGTCTTTCGTAAGAGTAGGGGTGTAACCCCGGCATCCTGGCCAAATTTGCCCCTTGGCCTCTGTCCATCATGGCCTCCTAATCATCCCCATATATACTAATTGGCTTCATCATTCTGTCTCCTCTCCACCAATAAGCTGGTGTGTGGAGGGCGTTCTGGCGCAATATGGCTGCTGTCGCATCATCCGGTGGAAACTTTTTCTGGGACCTTTGAGGTCCCAGAAAAAGCGCTATATAAATGTAACGAATTATTATTATTATTAAAAAAAAGTCTACACACCCCTGTTAAAACTATAGAAGATTGTTTCCACCACAGAATAACAAAGATAAATTTAAAAGATAATTGCGACTTTTTATCTCACAATTCGCCTTTGGCTAAGCCCCGCCCCCCTTAGTTACTGTGCCTACGTCCGACAAACAAACTTCATCTGGGCTCTGGTATCAACATGGCTTATGCTGTGACAGCTCTTCCTGCTGAAATTTTATCAAACTTTTATAAAGCAGCAAATAAAGTGTCCGATAGAAGTAGGCAAAAGCGGCTGCAATATACGTCCGAAGGCTATATTCACAACATACAGGTGAAACGCAAGGAATAACTAGGCATCCAAATAGAGGCAAAAGCATACCGGTCACAGTCAAAAAATGACCCACCGCATATCCTACTAATGGAGACGGAGGCTGGGACTCACAATATCAAGGAGCAACACTGTTCATGCAAAGCTGGGTAGGTCTCTATTCACTTCTATAATCGTTATTACAAAGCAAACGGACTACGCGAGTATAACGTTGTATTTATTAGCAGCGTGTGCTAGACGACACTTGTCAGGATTTGACTTTGGTTTTGGGAAGGGAAAAAAACGCACACCCCCTCCAACCTCTCTGGGAAACGCGTATCTGTGTTACAAATGCCCCAGGCACAACGTTTAACCATATTTTTGATAAAACTACGACGGTAATAGCCGGCCGAGACCAAAAATATGAGACGCCTGTGTTAAAGTCAATGGAGCGCTGTGAAAAAGTGTCGGACCTCTGTGGGAGCTCGTTCTTGGCTGCGCTGTGATTGGTCAATCTACATTCTAGGGTGTGGCTTAGCCAAAGGCGAATTGTGAGTTTACATCTCATAATTGAACCAGCGGGGTCATTGGAACTCCGCGGCGGCCTGCTCTGACAGGGGTCTGGCGACAGGGGGACGAAAGCGGCAAGGCATAGCGTTACACACTGTTATCCGAGAACTGTTGGGCAATGTCCTCGACCGCACCGCTGAAGAGTCCAGCCTGGGATATGGGAGAGTTGAGGAAATGGGTTCTCTTAGCCTCCCGCAACTCAGCCAGGTTAAGCCACAGAGAAGGTGGAGGAAGCCGCCGGGCCGCGAGAAGTCAACGGGGACTTCCATGACCTGGTGACTTCCTGATGCACCTCCGGGAAGAAAGGCACTGCGGGCCGCCAGCACGCGCCGCCCCCAAGAACCAATCGTCCATCCTTGAGCGCTCGGGGGAGGGCAGCAGATGCCACTCAAGCCCGATGCTCTCAGCTGCCCGGACAAGCATGGCCGTCAGCTCTGGATCAGACTCGGGCAACGTTGGCACTCCCGAGGGAGGCAACACAGCCAAATCCTCATCTCCAGGAGGAATCAAGCCCGCCTTGTGATGCTGTGAGCGACATGGCATCATCCGCCAGAGCCCTGAATGAAACACTGGGTCCCCGGAAGGAAAAGCTCCACAGCTTGCGATGTGGAGGGGGGCGTGCTCCGAGGAAGACTTGTCGGGTTGTTCCACACCGTAACCCCCAGATCACCCTGGCCACCAGCCAAAGTATCCCCTTTCGAGGAGGAAATAGATTGGGGTGTGGCAGAGGGGACTCTACCCCCACGCAGGTCATTGAGTCTCAATCTAAGCATCGCGATGGCCATGTTTACGCAGGTGAGAACATGACTCATCCACGAGCCGTGCCTGAGCGTGATTAAAGCCCAAACACGCGAGGCAGCGCTCGTGAACGTCAGGCGGATGGATCATGCGCCCACAACTAGAAACACACGGGCGAGACATCTTGAAAAAGACGTGCCCGTGCAGCTCTTTTAGAAAAAGAAAAGCTCTCTCAGCAGTGCCGAAGCGCCCAGGGGAGAACACAAGCCGTGTGCAAAGTCACTGCACAGACGAGCAGCAGGACCGTGAACCCGCTGAAACGCGCCGTCACACCAACACCGACTGAAGACAGACGCTCGTTGCTCTTGATGAAGGCGAAGAGAAGCACATAAACACTCTGGCTCCAAAGCAGAAACATAATGCGAGATTGCACTCGCGACTCCTTTTTTACCCACGCGGTGGAGCGGAGTGCAAAATCGCGATGCAAATTCTGCAGACCCATGGTACTTTCATACCATTGGCTCGTTTTCAGTGTTTCCTCTAGAATTTTTCCCAGCTGTGGTGGCAGGCCCATTTCCCCAGGGGGAGGGGGCGGTCCCCACGAGTGATATTCCCATTGGCCACGCCCCCTTGCCCCAGGTGTTTAAACCTCCCCTAAGTATTATGGGTATATTATATATAAGTATTATATATATGAAAGTCTCCAATAAGAGCGGCAAAGCGATTATGCGCATCCCGTGCGCAGAATGATGCACTTGAAGCAACGCGAAGTCACAGCGTGCAGCGCTTGCATTGAAAAGTTCAAAGCACAAAGCGAAGAGAAGAGATTATATCCATCTATGCTTAGTGTATTCTATCTAACAGTTTATTGAGCCTTTTCTTTTAACAGTTTTAAATTTCAGCTACAGTGCGCATGAAGAACAATTCATAGCGCTCTCTACTCCAGTGCTGTAATCTAACAGACACCCGGGAGAAAGGAATATGATTTAGAAAGGGCAATAAACTCCAGCAAGATAAAGTAATTTTATGCAAACCATAGACGTTTATCTACAAATAAAGTATAATAATGGGAACATTGATCTTGAAAAGAGTGTGGTCGTCGTGTTACTGTCGTAACCGAACGCGATGCGCTGTTTGAATGCTGAATGGAGAATGACTGAGGAGAGATGAGTTTCCATTAACTTTAACTTAACCACTTAAATATTCATTTTACCTCACATTATGCTATTGAATGACCTCAGAAGTCTTGGAATATAGTGCGAAGACTTTATTGTGCTTTACAAAAATTTTTTATGCCTTTAGTGGGGCTTAACAATAACACAACAGTGTGCACAATATCGGCCCTCACTGAGAAGCTGCAGCCGTGGCGGGATGATTTTAGGTGTGGCGGCCCGTCACGGCAGAATGAATGTAGCGGAAACACTGCACTGACGTAACTCGTAGTGACTGACTGAAAGGGAACTCCATTTATCTGCACTTTGATCTTTCAAAGTTTGTGTTTCTACACGGCTGTTTTCTAATTTTCAAGTGTAACTTTATTTGATTAATTTCTTCTCTGTATAATGGGCTCTGTATAATGATGCACACACCTCATTATAGAGATGAATGAAGTTGGCCAGCTGATGTGAGAGGATGCGCTGACGGTCCTGTAGGTCGAGCTGACGGCTGGGCACGTTCACACACATGTCCTGATGAAGATTACTACTGGCTCTCTGGAGGAACCGAACAACCAGCTCCTGCACAAACACACAGTCAACAGCACAAACGCTTTAGGCACTCACATTAATACATGAACTAATACACTAATAAACATATGATATTATACTCAGTATATGTACACTCACCGGCCACTTTATTAGGTACACCTGTCCAACTGCTCGTTAACACTTAATTTCTAAGCAGCCAATCACATGGCGGCAACTCAGTGCATTTAGGCATGTAGACATGGTCAAGACAATCTCCTGCAGTTCAAACCGAGCATCAGTATGGGGAAGAAAGGTGATTTGAGTGACTTTGAACGTGGCATGATTGTTGGTGCCAGAAGGGCTGGTCTGAGTATTTCAGAAACTGCTAATCTACTGGGATTTTCACGCACAACCATCTCTAGGGTTTACAGAGAATGGTCCGAAAAAGAAAAAACATCCAGTGAGCGGCAGTTCTGTGGGCGGAAATGCCTTGTTGATGCCAGAGGTCAGAGGAGAATGGCCAGACTGGTTCGAGCTGATAGAAGGGCAACAGTGACTGAAATAACCACTCGTTACAACCGAGGTATGCAGCAAAGCATTTGTGAAGCCACAACACGCACAACCTTGAGGCGGATGGGCTACAACAGCAGAAGACTCCACCGGGTACCACTCATCTCCACTACAAATAGGAAAAAGAGGCTACAATTTGCAAGAGCTCACCAAAATTGAACAGTTGAAGACTGGAAAAATGTTGCCTGGTCTGATGAGTCTCGATTTCTGTTGAGACATTCAGATGTTAGAATCAGAATTTGGCGTAAACAGAATGAGAACATGGAACCATCATGCCTTGTTACCACTGTGCAGGCTGGTGGTGGTGGTGTAATGGTGTGGGGGATGTTTTCCTGGCACACTTTAGGCCCCTTAGTGCCAATTGGGCATCGTTTAAATGCCACGGCCTACCTGAGCATTGTTTCTGACCATGTCCATCCCTTTATGGCCACCATGTACCCATCCTCTGATGGCTACTTCCACCATGTCACAAAGCTCTAATCATTTCAAATTGGTTTCTTGAACATGACAATGAGTTCACTGTACTAAAATGGCCTCCACAGTCACCAGATCTCAACCCAATAGAGCATCTTTGGGATGTGGTGGAACGGGAGATTCGCATCATGGATGTGCAGCCGACAAATCTGCGGCAACTGTGTGATGCCATCATGTCAATATGGACCAAACTCCCTGAGGAATGCTTCCAGCACCTTGTTGAATCTATGCCACGAAGAATTGAGGCAGTTCTGAAGGCAAAAGGGGGTCCAACCCGTTACTAGCATGGGGTACCTAATAAAGTGGCCGGTGAGTGTATATTATACTGATAAACATGTCAGTGAGCAAGACCAGATGTCTCATGAAGTGTGTGAGGTTAGAAGCTGCAGCGAAGGGGAAGATTATCAGGGAATAACGACCTGTCCCCAACACAAAACTATAATATGACTCATATACATTACAGATCAAATGTTTGGGATAAATAGGATTGTTTAATGTTTAATCTCTAAAAGATCACGTGACACTGAAGACTGGAGTAATGGCTGCTGAAAAATCAGCTTCAATCCCAGGAATAAATTACATTTTTAAATAGATTAAAGTATCAAATAGTTAATATAAATTAATATTTAAAAATGTTACTGTTTTTACTGTATTTTTGCAGCCTTGGTGAGCAGAAGAGACTTTTTTCTAAATCATTAAAAATAATAATTTTGAATAATTTTGTGTTGAAAATATCATAAGAATGCGTTTGTAGTGATTTTTTGGGGACTGGTGGTATAATTTAACTGTATGGAAAAGGGCAACTTAAATCTTATTTTATTTTTCACAGATAAAAAGTCATTTTTATGGTGCGGGTCAAATTAACCCTAATTGGATTCAATACAATTCACCAAAAAATCACTCTATGAGGTAAAAACTGTCAACCTTTAACATTAATACTACTAAAACATTAGAATAAACTATAAATAAATTAATGCACATTCCAAAACCAATCAGAGTGTTGAAAATGTGCATGCATGTTCATCACTCTAAATGAGAAAAAGTCACTCAATATTAAGGAAAGCATCATAGGTTAACCAGCATCATGCGGGTCAAACTGACCCACAACATTAAATGATGACAGAATGCTCATTTTTGGAGGGAGCTAATCCTACAATTGTGAAAGACTTACATGTGTCAGTTTCTGTATGGTGTGTGAAACAGATATTTGAGTAAATCAAGACATGGTGTACCATCTGATCGTGCTCCTTCTGAGTCCAGGCCGGGCTTCTGTGGGCTCTGCTCTCGGACAGCAGGCGCAGATGCACACGCTGCAGGTACGAGGAGAACGCCATGCGGGCTTGAACTTTACTGCACACAACACCACAGCGTAAAAGAGCAGAACAAACTGAGGATGCAAAAAACATTTGTGTTTAGAATTTGATGGTAGCCATTGATTTCCGTAGTATTTTTTTTCCATACTATGGAAGTCAATCAATGGCTACAATCAACGTTCTTTAAAATATCTCCTTTTAAGTTCAACAGAAAAAAAGAAACCCTAAGGTTTGGAACAACCTGAGGGTGAGTAAATGATGACCAGTGTTGGGCAGTAACACGTTACTGTAACGCAGTTACTTTTGACAGTAACTCATACTGTAACGCATTACTTTTTAAATAAATTAACTCCGTTACCATATGGTGCGTTTTTCCGTTACTTTTTTAAATTAATTAATTTTGGCTGAAGTGTAGCCTACAGCCTAACCTGTTTACAGCAGCGATGCATTGTTGGTGGTAGGGTTGCCACCCGTCCCTTAAAATACGGAAAAGTAAAATGACGCGTCCGTATGAAATCAATAAGGGACGCGATTTGTCCCGTATTTTACATAAGGCCCACACATAGCCTAGTTGGATAAAAACATAGGCTATACTATACTAATAGCAAATAGCCTATAAATAAATCAATTTCACAATAATGTTACATTATGATTAGAATCAAATGAATTTTGTCCATTTTCTAAGCTTAGAAAATGCACATTTATATGGGCTGAATTTTATAGGCCTAAAATAAATATTGTTTAGTAATTATGTGAATTACACTGCGCAAACTACTAGTCTACCCACCGAATGAAGAAGGGTTGGCTCTCCGTCTCCACAGAAAAAAATATTTATTTTATTTTATTTTTAGTGTTCGCATTTATGAGGAAAAAACAATATTACGGACGTGACAGTTCTCCGTTACGGACGCGACGCGCTCTGAAAGCGGCACTAAAAGATGCTTTAATACTTGCAGAGACATCAGACAGAAAGCACAAAACCTTTCTTTAAAGTGAATTTCGTTTTGTATTGATTGTATCTTAATTTTAATCAATGTTTCATCAACCAATTGCCTGGATTTAATAAATAAGAAGTAAATGTAGCAGACGATAGATAATCACGAAACGGAGGCGCCGGCGCGTGAACTGGAGTTCGTCTCATAAATGAACCGAAACTCGGCGTATAAGGTAGCCTACTTGCCTCACAGACATGTCTACTTTTAAACAGAACAATTCAAAACGAAAGAAAACAGACTACAGACTGCTCTCTGCTTATGTAATCCGTATGAAATGTGCATTTCTCTCTGGCGCGTTCACTACTGCGAAGATCGCGAGTCAGCATAGTGAGTCACCGCAGAAATCCTTGAGATATATTCAGTTTGTGCTGGTCTGACTCAAATAAAATAGTGTTTAAAAATTACTTTCTGTTTAAGTCAGTTTTGTGTTTGTATAGACCATAACGCATAAAAGGGCATTAATGGGAACATTAAAGTATGTTTTTTTTAAAAGTAACTAAAAAGTTACTTTTAACAGTAACGCATTACTTTTTGGTGTAAGTAATCAACAAAGTAATTGAGTTACTTTTTGAATGAAGTAACTAGTAACTGTAACTAGTTACTATTTCTTAGTAACTAGCACAACACTGATGATAGTGTTTAAATTTTTGGGTGAACTATTCCTTTAATGCCTCTTTCTTTGTATTTACAGCACCCACTAGTGACAGTCTATTTGAAACAGTTTTAAATATTACACCGTTTAACATAAGCACATGCTGAATCTTCTATGCAGGGGTCAATATAATTAACCCTGTAAAGCCTGCATGACATATACATAAAAGTTTACATATGTGTTTTTGTTGAGTATCATATTTGATGCATCAGGCTTTTATGGCTCATATAGTGAGAATATGGAGGAAAAAACAGCTCAGTTTTACTCAGAGGCCCAAAGTGAACAAAAATATGCAAGATGCTGATATTAATATGGGTAAAAAGTAAGAAATTCTAATGCTTGTGATCAATTAGATATTCATAAAAGTATAGCAGATACTTGCAGAAAATGCATATAAATATCAATATCTGCTAATAATATGTCTTAGTAAGATGATATTTAAATGCTTAGTTTTATGATCAAAGCTCTGTAGCATTAAATCATATAATGCAATACAATGATGATTGAGAGATGAACTAATAAACCTTCCTCAAAAGCCTGATGATCATATTTGATACTTTCTATAAATGATGTATGATAATCAAGTAAAGCGAAGCTGCTTCAGTCCAGCTGACATATTACTAACAATATCAAAGTTATTCCTTAATAATCAGGTCACATTTGACACAGAAAGACTCGTGAAGCTCGAGCTGAAGGAGGACGTTTGTACAATTACACTGAAAGACTTTTACTGGATAAAAGAGTCTAAACTCCCAATCAGACTTAGGGTTAAACAACAATTTAAAAAAAATATATATTGTATGTTACAGTAAGTTGGTGTACTCAAAAATATTTGAGCCAATAGTTTAGTTGTGGCGAACGGATGGCTGTGCTGTACATGTCCCTGCACACATAACAAGAAATGCTGCTCCAACAACCATGAACTATTTACATGCTCCGAGTGACGAGAAGATAAGCAAGGAAAGTGCGACGAAAGGGAAAAGAAATGTTTCGGAAAAATCCATCGCACGTAAACAATGATACACTGTACTGTAACGGCCCCGGTCCCTTCTCGGCCCTGGCAGGCGCAGAGGAATTTCTACAAACTCAGACATGTCATTATAATTCCTTGCTCAAATTACAATTCAGGCTCTTGGACTGCGAGTCGAGAGGAAACTGGAATCTTTATTGCACTTTGGACAGGAGTATGTAATACTCATTAATGTCAGCGTATGAAAAGAGCAGGTCTAAATATTTTTGTAGGGCTATTGCATAACGTGAAGGGGGAGGGAATATGTTTCAACTGCTTCCAGGACTCCTGCAAAATGTTAAACAAAGGAAAGACAGTCTGACTCCAGCAATTAGGCGGCCAATAAGAGCGAGGTCAGGGTTGCAGGAATCCAGTTCCTGTGTGAGTTACACTGTGAGGAGTCAGTGAAAGTAGCGCTGGATGAAAAGGACACCACGGCGAGCAGATGCAAATGAGTGTGTGTGTGTGTGTGTGTGTGTGTGTGTGTCTGGGGTTGAGAACTGATTCAATCTCTTCAGATATACAGGAACAAAACACTCCTGCAGGAGCACTGAATCTGAGCAAGAGAAATGATGTGTTCTCTTAGTTGCAACTGAACACGATGAAAAAAGTATACAATGATAATAAATAGACAACGCATGTGTATATTGCGTGGGCCTTGCTGTCTTCATGCAACAACAAACAAAGCACAACCAGAGTGTGATTTAAAATGACTCTCATGAGTCAGTTCTCTACATTGAAATTGAAACACATGAGTAACTCCTGAATCGTGTAATTGAAATGAATTGGAAACCATAAGAGCGTATCCCAACCAGACGCAATAAAAGTTAAAAGGTTGGGGTTTTTTTTTTTCATTTGAAAGGAATAGTTCACCCACAAATGGAAATTTGTCACCTTCATGTTTTTCTTCTCTGTAAAATAAAATATATTTTGAGAATGTTTTGATATTTTGTCTCCATGCAGTGGTAACCAAACACATTTGAAAACATTCTTCAAAATATCTTCTTTTATGTTCCACAGAAGGAAGTCAGTCAGGTTTGGAATGACATAAGGGAGAGAAAATGATGACAGAATGAGTCACCTGTCCCTTTAATCAGAGTTTTACATGGTGAGAAACAAGTGCTTGTGTTTTTGGACTGGTTTCTACGTCACGGCTGATAGTTCAGGTACTGATTGTGTTTTGTATTCAACTTTATCGACTAAAATAACTAGCTTCCGACAGACGGCCGTACGCATCGATTTACGGTGGAAGAGTGACCTCTGACCCGACGCATGACGTATTGATGAACGCTGAAGCGCAGAGAATAGAGCAAAACAAAACACCGGTCATGAATTATACGTCTAAAACCAGAACTTTTAAAGAGAAATTTGGGAGGAGCTTGAGTTTGTTGCCCAGGGGCCGTATTCACAAAGAATTGTAAGGCTAAAAGTAGCTCCTAACTGGCGAATTTAGGAGCAACTCCTAAAAATAATGGGCGTGTCAGTCCTAACTTTAGGACTCCTAATTTTTTTCGCTAAGAATAATTCACGAAGCATTTTAGCCCTAAAAGTAGCACCTAAGTCTGGGACAGCTTAACTCTCTGGGGTCGGCGGTATCGCCGGCGATACCAGCTCACTTTTTTCCTTATCAGTGCAAAAGAGACTCAAATTACTCTGTTGATTTTGATCTTACATAGAAGTGTTGTACATCATTCGATCCTGTTAAGTTTGTATTTTTTTTGTGGAACCTCACAATAAGAACAAAGTGTTGTGCTTTTCGCCAAATAAAAAAAAAGAAACATGATGTGCGTTCTGCGTTCTCTCTGTCAGTGAAGTGCATTCTGAAACGCGTCCGAAAAATGAACTGTAACTAAGTCAATACTTGTCACAGAGATACGAGACATGTGTCTTTTTAAAGCTTGTATTCTCTTCTTTTAAATGAAGTAATTTATTAAAAAAAGAAATATTTCCAGTTTATGTAATCCGTTTGAAACCAAGGAGAGTTTTTTTCGTTCTCAGTTCATTATCTTTAATTAGCTGAGGCCGCCACGCCCCCAGAGCTTTTCACATGGTAAATAGGCGATCTATGCATCGCACACGCCCCCCGATCAATGCCATAACAACACAAAGTTTCTCCATCAGATTCACTGATAGTTCATCGCGTTTTGAGAATGGCACTCTACTCCTTCAGATGATTCTGGACAGCGGGGAAGGATTCACCTTTTCCTCAGAGGAATTTGAAACTCGGACGACCAACGGCTGCATTTTTAAGAACGAATTGACCCCGCCGATGATACAAGCTCGGAGTAAGTTGTTTAGTGTTATATAATTCCTTTTCTGATTATAGAGCTCAAATGAATTTTAGACTATATTTTGCCTAGTTTTGGCTAGCTTTTGACATA